GCTGACTCTGGGGGTGCTGTGCGCGGGGGTGCCGGGCCTGGTGGTGCTGCTACTGGGGGTGCTGAGCCTGGGGGTGCTGGGCCTGGGAGTGCTACTGCGGAGGGTGCTGAGCCTGGGGGTGCTGAGCCGGGGGGTGCGGTGCCTGGAGCTGCTGAGCTAGGGGGTGCTGGGTCTGGGGGTGCTGGGTCGGGAGCTGCTGAGCCTGGGGGTACTGAGTCTGGAGCTGCTGAGCCTGGGGGTGCTCCGTCTGGAGCTGTTGAGCCTGGGGTTTCTCCTGCTGCTGCGTCTCGCCGGGAGCCCCTCTCTCCACAGGAGCTGCGCGAGTGGTTTGCTCGCCGCTGGAGGCGTGCTGCTGGAGCTGGAGCTTCTTCGACCGTCGAGGGTGCTGGTGCTGCCGGTCCCGAAGCTGCTGGGCCTGCGGGTACTCCTAGAGCAGGAGCTCCTGAGGGTGTTCGTGCTGAGACTACTGCTGTCTGTCCCGGCGGTGGTTCTGCTACTGGTGCTGCTGGAGGTCCTGCCGCTGGAGGTGTTGGTGGCGCTGGTGCTGTCGCTGAGGGTGCTGGTGCTGTCCCTGCTGAGTCTGGAGTTGCCGCGCGGCCTCGGCCGTACTTCGTTCCGCTCCTGCAGCAGGTTCTTGGTCTTTCTCCTCCGGTAGAGTGTCCACAGCCTGTCCAGTCGCAGTCCCTGTTGGAGCCTTCCTCTCCACTGCCTGCTCCCTCTCCTTACACTGGTCCTACTGGAGGTCTTGCTGAGCGTCGTGAGCCTGCGTCTCGTCCTGCGTCGCCTGTTCGTGCTGCTCGCACTAGTGGTCGCGGTTCGCGTCAGCGTCCTCCTCCTGTCCCTGGCACGCACCGGATGTCTCTGCGTCCGTCCACTGCTCCTCTGCGTGCCCCTTTGCCTTCTCCTCCTGAGTCCTCTCTTCCTGCGCTTGCCGACCCTGAGTCGGACTCTCTTCGTGCTGCCAGTCCTACTGTCACGCGTCTCCTTGCTACTGTCGTCACTGACCCCTCGTTTGAGTCCACTGCTGCGTCTGCCCTTGTCGCTGAGCTCGTCGACTTTGCTGCTCGCTGTCGTCTAGACTACGCTGCTAGTCTTGTTGCTGAGTCAGCGTGTGACTGTCCTCTGTCCGTCGGGGGTGACTGTGCTCTTGGCACGGACGTCCTAGAGGACAGGCAGGAGGAGTTACAGTGTCTGGCGGCTGCTTCACCTCATCTCGCGTCTGTACTGCTTGCTCCTGAGGGAGACCCGGATGCACTAGACATCCCGACTCCGCGCTCTTACGCGGAGGCCGTAGAGGGTCCCTACTCGTCTCAGTGGCAGGCAGCTATGGATGCAGAGATGGCTTCCTGGAAGTCCACAGGCACCTACGTTGACGCAGTTCCCCCTCCTGGGGCGAACATCGTCAGTGGCATGTGGATCTTCAGGGTGAAGCGGCCGCCGGGCTCTCCACCTGTCTTCAAGGCGCGGTACGTTGCTCGTGGCTTCAGTCAGCGGCAGGGAGTTGACTACTTTCAGACCTTCTCTCCCACCCCGAAGATGACCACTCTTCGGGTGCTGCTGCACATAGCCGCTCAGCGCGACTACGAGCTTCACTCTCTCGACTTCAGCACTGCGTTCCTGCAGGGTAGCCTGCACGAGGAGATCTGGCTGCGCCGTCCACCTGGCTTCACTGGGACTTTCCCTCCTGGCACCCAGTGGAGCCTCCGTCGGCCAGTCTACGGTCTCCGCCAGGCACCGCGTGAGTGGCACGACACACTGAGGACTACGCTTGCGGCTCTTGGGTTTGCTCCTTCTACTGCTGACCCGTCGCTGTTTCTGCGCACCGACACTTCTCTGCCGCCGTTCTACATCCTCGTGTACGTCGACGACTTGGTCTTTGCCACAGCGGACACTGCTGGACTCGCCTACGTGAAGTCCGAGCTGCTGAAGAGACACACGTGCACAGACCTGGGTGAACTGCGCAGCTACCTTGGCTTGCAGATCACTCGGGACAGAGCACGCCGCACCATTACCTTGACTCAGTCACACATGGTGCAGCAGGTCCTTCAGCGCTTCGGCTTCACGTACTCCTCGCCTCAGGCCACTCCTCTGTCTACTCGTCACTCGCTCTCAGCTCTGCCTTCGGATGAGTCCGTAGAGTCGAGTGGCCCGTACCCAGAGCTTGTTGGCTGCCTCATGTACCTGATGACCTGCACACGACCTGACCTTGCATACCCTCTGAGCATTCTTGCACGCTATGTTGCTCCTGGGAGACACCGACCAGAGCACATGGCTGCAGCGAAGAGGGTGTTGCGCTACCTGTGCAGTACGTCGGGCATGGGGCTAGTGCTTGGAGGGCGGAGTCCAGTGGTCCTTACAGGGCACGCGGACGCTTCTTGGGCTGACGACCAGGCTACGCAGCGGTCGTCACAGGGTTACACCTTCAGTCTTGGTTCCGGCTCTGTCTCGTGGCGGGCTACTCGCTCGTCTTCGGTTCTCAGCTCCAGTTGTGAGGCTGAGATCTACGCTGGGGCCATGGCTGCACAGGAGCTTCGCTGGCTCACATACCTGCTGACTGACCTTGGAGAGCCGCCTCGTTCTCCTCCAGTGCTGTACGTAGACAACAAGGCCATGCTGGCCTTGTGTCGAGAGCAGCGTCTGGAGCACAGAACGAAGCACATTGCTCTTCGCTACTTCCTTGCTCGTGAGGTGCAGCAGCGTGGACAGTTGCGGCTTGCGTACGTGGCCTCTGAGGCCAACACTGCTGATGTGTTCACCAAGGCACTCGCGCCTTGTGACCATCAGTGCCTCTGCACCCAGCTGGGTCTTGTGCCTGTCTTGCCTCACTTGCTCTCCTCTTGACTTTACTTGTACTGTGACATATATATATACCTACTCTTGCTTGTCTAGTTTTATATATATATGTCTGTACTCCTGCATGTGAACTGGCCACTGGCCCTGCTCTTGTGCTCGGACTGTGTGGTGACGTTGTGATCCACCCTGAGCTTGCTCTGCTTTGCTTTACTTGACTGGTCTTGTGACCCCTTGTTCTCCCCCACTTTGCCTATGGGGGTGTGTCAGATTTATATGACATAGTTGCTGTAGGCTATAGTGGGGTAGCACATATGGGGTACAGGGTTTCTAGGGTTGTATTTGTACCCAATCTTTCCTTAGTCATTTCATTCCTGTTCACTTGTTTCACAGTAATCCCAAGTGCCAATAGACTTGCGTGCTTATGCGCACTTGTGATTGTAGTATCGGGAAGGGAGTGTTCCCGAAGGTTCGTTTTATCTCGTTTATCCTTGTACTTTCTGAGTATAAATAGGCCTTGTATTCAGTTTTAGTGACAAGTTTCGATTGAGAATTCGATCCTGTGACAAGTGGTGCTGGCCCCGGAGGTGCTCGTACTGGAGGTACTGGAGCTGCTGGGGCTGGAGGTGCTGCTGAGCCTGAGGGTACTCCTGGTGGAGACCCTGGGTCTAGGGGTGCTGCTGCTGGGGACACTTTGGCTGGTGACCTTGGTTCTGGGGGTGCTTCTGCTGAGGGTGCTGGAGCTGCTGAGGGTGCTGGAGCTGCTGAGGGTGCTGGAGCTGCTGAGGGAGCTGGAGCTGCTGAGGGTGCTGGAGCTGCTGGAGGTACTGGAGCTGCTGAGGGTGCTGGAGCTGCTGAGGGAGCTGGAGCCGCTGGTGCTGGCGCTGCGCAGCCACGCCTGTTCTTTGCTCCGCCTTCTCCGTCGTCTCTGCCACCGCCTGCCTCCGTGCTCCGCCAGGTTCTTAGCCTCCCGTCGTCTATTGGTCTTCCGTTATAGCCTGGCTCACCCTTGCCTGCTCCTTCTCCTTACAGTGAGCAGTCAGGTGGTCTTGCTGAACGTCGTGAGCCTGCGTCGCGTCCTGTCTCGCCTGTCTGTTCTGGTCGTTTCTAGCTCAAATTTCTAGAACAAGCCTGGCGTGGTGTGGCATGGCATGGTTCTTTGACTGACAGGTATGTGAGGGCAGTGAGCTGGCTGAGGAAGGCCGGAATGCGCCCCTTGATAGAACAGCCGTTCACATTGCTATGGGCAACAGGGAGAGGAGAGGGTGGGGAGGAAGGAGGGAGGGAGAAAGCGAGGAGAGATGGGGTAAGGAATGCGCCCCTTACCCCGCAGCCGTGCACATTGCTGTGGGCGGAGCCGGGGGGGAGCGGAGGAAGTAGAAGCAGGAAGAGCAAGGCGAGAGGGAGGGAAGAGAGAGGAGAGGAAGGGGCAAGGCGAGCAGGAGGGAAAGAGGGGAGAGAAAAGGGGAAAGAGCTGTTCAAAGGAAAACAGCAGCAGTGAGTGCAATGTGGAGCGGAGCACGAATGGCAGCCCCGTCAGTCAGCCAGCCGCACTGCACCGCACAGCACTGTGCTCACAGGAGGTTGAGCTTGGTGAAAGACTGTGGCAGTGCCTCCATGCCGTTGCTGTACCTCACAACCTTGCCCCCCCGCACAGCACCGCATTAAATTGCGTTGCACCCCAGGGCACTCACATGAGTTTGAGCTTCTTGAGCTTGGTGAAAGACTGTGGCAATACCTCTACGCCATTGTTGTAACTCAACTCGCTGCGACCGCGCCATGCCGTGAGGGGAGCGGAGAGGAGAGGAGAGGGGAGAGGAGTGGAGAGGAGTGGAGAGGAGCGGAGAGGAGCAAAGAGGGAGAGGAGCGGAGGAGAGGAGTGGAGAGGGAGAGGAGCGGAGGGGAGAAGAGAGGAGCGGAGAGGAGCGGAGAGGAATGGAGAGGAATGGAGAGGAGTGGAGGAACGGAGAAGCAGGGGAGGAGCAGAGAGGAGCGGAGAGGAATGGAGAGGAATGCAGAGGAGTGGAGGAACGGAGAAGCAGGGAAGGAGCGGAGAGGAGCGGAGAGGAATGGAGAGGAATGGAGAGGAGTGGAGGAACGGAGAAGCAGGGGAGGAGCGGAGAAGAAGGAAAGGCGTTTAAAGAAGAGGAGGGGATGGAAGGGGCAACGGCGAGAGACTTGGAAACGGCAAGAAACAAAATCCGAGGCATCTAGATCAGAGAAATGCGAGACAGAGAGAGAAGGCGACAGAAAGTGAGAGAAGGCAACAGAAAGCGAGAGAAGGCGACAGAAAGAGAGAGACGGCAACAGAAAGTGAGAGACGGCGACAGAAAGTGAGAGAAGGCGACAGAAAGTGAGAGAAGGCGACAGAAAGTGAGAGACGGCGACAGAAAGTGAGAGAAGGCGACAGAAAGTGAGAGAAGGCGACAGAAAGTGAGAGAAGGCGACAGAAAGTGAGAGAAGGCGACAGAAAGTGAGAGAAGGCGACAGAAAGTGAGAGAAGGCGACTGAAAGTGAGAGAACGCAACAGAAAGTGAGAGAAGGCGACAGAAAGTGAGAGAAGGCGACAGAAAGTGAGGGACGGCGACTGAAAGTGAGAGACGGCGACAGAAAGTGAGAGAAGGCGACAGAAAGCGAGAGAAGGCGACAGAAAGCAAGAGAAGGCGACAAAAAGTGAGAGAAGGCGACAGAAAGTGAGAGAAGGCGACAAAAAGTGAGAGACGGCGACAGAAAGTGAGAGACGGCGACAGAAAGTGAGAGACGGCGATAGAAAGTGAGAGACGGCGACAGAAAGTGAGAGAAGGCGACAGAAAGTGAGAGAAGGCGACAGAAAGTGAGAGACGGCGACAGAAAGTGAGAGACGGCGAGAGAAGGTGAGAGACGGCGACAGAAAGTGAGAGACGGCGACAGCAAGTGAGAGACGGCGACAGAAAGTGAGAGAAGGCGACAGAAAGTGAGAGAAGGCGACAGAAAGTGAGAGAAGGCAACAGAAAGCGAGAGAAGGCGACAGAAAGTGAGAGAAGGCGACAAAAAGTGAGAGAAGGCGACAGAAAGTGAGAGAAGGCGACAAAAAGTGAGAGAAGGCGACAGAAAGTGAGAGAGGGCGACAGAAAGTGAGAGAAGGCGACAGAAAGTGAGAGAAGGCGACAGAAAGTGAGAGAACGCGAGCTGGTCGGCCGAACCAAGCGAAGATGCAAGGAAGCCCCAAAGCAGTGGAGTGGATGGGGATGCGAGGTGTGCGGTTGAAAGAGTGAGTGAGCACTAACCAAGTGGATATGTTAGCTCAAGAGTCGAGGAGCGGGTGTGCGGTGCGGGTGCAAGAAGAGGGTGTAAGGGTGGGTGGGAAAGGGCGAGGGTGGATGGGAAGAGGTTTGGGTGGAGGGGCTCACAGGCGGTACAGCTGTTCGAGCGAGGAGAGCGCGTCGATGGGCCCCACGAGACGGGCAGACGGGACGTGGCTGAACGTGGAGGTACAGAGGAGCATGGAGCAGGGAATGAGGCACGCACGCACAGGGAAGCAGCATGTCAGATGATAGACCAGTTGAAGGTCAGGTAGATAGGTAGATCAGTTGAAGGTCAGGTAGATAGGTGCCTCGAGAATAGAATACAGAAGCGGGGGGACCACCTTTGAGGTGCCACGTCACTCACAATGCGACAATATTCCCCTCCTCATCCCAAGTCACTCACAATCGTCGCACGTCACTCACAGCCGTCGCACTTGACTCACATGGCGACGATCTTGCCCTCCGCGTCGCACGTCACGCCATAGTACTTGGAGCACTTAGCGGGCGCGCCGCTGGCCGTCCACGACTTGAACCCATCGAACTCGCTGCCCGACTGCGCGCCGAGCTGACGGAGAACGTCCACTGACGGACGGAGGGGGACGGAGGGGGAGTGGGTCGGGTGGGACGGAAAATTTCAGGAGAACGTTGATAAGGGCGAAAGACGACCCTTTAAGCACGCTCCACGGGGAAACCATCCCAGCCAATGGCAGAACGACACGTACGCTGCGATTTGAGGATGGTCGCTTCGGGCGATGCGGCCAAGCGGATTGCGTCGCCAGAAGGGAGGAGGGCCGCGGCGACGATTGCGACGACGACGCCGACGATGAGCGACACTGGTGCCAACCGACGCAGGCGGGCGGGCGACGCGATTAAAGCCCTAGAGAACGGCTTGTACAGTGACGAATGAGCAACTTGAGGGCGCGGCGACGACGAGAGAGCAAGTGGAGGGCACGACGACTACTGAACCGAGGGTATGGGGAAACTGGAAGGTATGGCGACGATTAAACCGAGGGTATGGCAGATGTGGGAGGTGGTTAGCTGAAGAACAAGGGAAGTTGGTTCACAAAGGCTTGGGGAATTGCGTTCGTGCATATATAGTGCTAGGACCCTTGGGCAACAGCGGGAAAGGCTTTGAGATGTAGGAGGTAGTGCAGGTATGCAGGGCGAATGGCGCGGCGCGATAATGGCGAAGCGAGCAAGCGAGAGGAGGAGAGAGCGCCGTAGTGGGGCCAGCAGTGCGAAGAACGGGGGTCAATGCGGCGCCTCCGCATCTTCGCGGCCGGCTGGGGAAGGTGGGGTGGGGGTTGGAGTCGCACTGCGGGCTTCTGAGTAAGCCGATGCAGTGGGTGGTTGCTGGAGGCTGTGGGAAGGTGGAGTTCCATCGACGGTGAACAATGGTGCATTGTCAATCGCGGCTAAGGATTGTGTGAGTCGCCGTCGTCAGATCGGGAAATAGCTCGGCAGAGACGCCGGCGCAACAACGATAGTTGCGGTTCAATTGCAGAATAATCGCGACAGAGCAGCAGACCAGAAACTTGAGTCAAAAGGGTTGTTCCCGTTATGAAAACGTGTGGAGTCGTTACAACTACCCACTACAGTAGTTTGACTAACTTACCACTGTAAGCTTAACAAAGAAATATTGTAATATATGCGCCATCTGCTTGCGGAATGCTCTCGTCTAGGGCAGGAGGCATTCCAATGCACTTTGATGCAGCCAAGCAGACATCACCTCCCGCCGTCGCTTGCGCTGGTACCCCCACACGTGCGGCCTCTTTCCTTTCGCATCCACCCCGCACGATTCCTGCCTGAACTTCCGCGTTATAAATGCATGCTAAAGTGCCCAAAGCCCATCACCTACTAATCTCGCTGTCCCTTACCCCAGCTTAGTAGTTATTTATGTCAAAACCCGTCTCTTCAGGCCATCCAAGATCCACAAGATCCTGATTTTTTTCGAAGTCCATCGATGGTTTCTGGATTCGATGGCTTCGATCGGGTCGGTCGCGTGCCTGCCTCAGGTGGTGCCATTGTCGTTTTTCGTCATCCTCGTCTTAGCGATCGTTGCCGCGGCTTTCCTCCCCACCGGCGACGCAATCCGTGTGGCTTCGTCGCCCGATCCGACCACCTCAAAAAACATCGAATTCTCGATCCGGTATTGGCTGTGGTCTCTGCCCATGCTCAGCACAAGTGTACTTTCAAAAGTCTTTTACTATTGTTCTTTCGCCTTTCTCATCGTTTTAGGTGCGGAGAGTTACTCTACACCGAGAGTGTCAATAGACCAGCACTATAAGATCCCCGATGGATCCTAGGGAGGGTTACATGCATGTTAGCCTGGGAGGGTTTGGGGTCACAGGCCTGCATTTAGAATGAGCCCTTTTATCCTGATGGTCTAGTCGTTGAGATTCTTACAAGATATTAGAGCAGTCTCAGGTTCGAGTCTCGGTGTATGCACACGCAGGCTGTTGTCATTGTGCCGACTCATGGGCCTCCCAGTGTGGGGGGGTGTCAGTAGACCTGCACTGTAAGATCTCTGGTTGATTCTAGGGGGGGTTACGGGCATGTTAGCTTGGGGGGGGGGGGGGGGGGGGGAAGGGTTGGGCGCACGGACCTGCATTTGGAACAAGCCCTTTTATCCCAATGATCTAGTGGTTGAGATTTTGACAAGGAGCTGGGCAAGAGGGGAAGGCACGGGTGGTACTAGTGATCGTAGCGTTTGTTCGTGCTATCTCTACTTGTACGTTTACATGGCCGATTGGCACGGGTTTTACCAAGAGTTGGGAAGAACAATGATGCTATAGCAATGGCAACAATGGACTGCATCAGAACCCAGGAACCTAGCAAAAAGGCAGGTCGACCTACAGCGCAGCACAAGGGTGGCCTACCAGCCCTGCAAGTCGACACCGCGCCAACACAGCTGGGAGGCGGCTTGCCAACGTTGCAAGTCGGTGACTTGCCAGCGCCGCACCAAGGCGGCTCGCCAACGCTGCAGTAGGGCGACTTGCCAGTGTTGCAGCCGCGGGTGACTGTATGCGCAGGCTGTTAAGATGGGTAGGAAGGAATCAACAGCAGAAGAGGAATTGCACTAGCAACAGATAGGATACATATAGCAAACCCTAAATTGAGTTGTACTCATTATAGAGTATCCCACTGCAGACTAGACAATTATAGCATTCTGACACACCCCCATAGTCAAAATAGGGTATGATCAGCACAGTAAGCAGTCGCATAAGAAGTTCATAAGCACAAGCCAAGCTAGAGGCAGTCACAGAGGGCAAGTGAGGAGGAGGAGGGACTGTGAGAGGAGTGGAGATAGGAGGCGACGGGTGAAGCCACAGACAGACGGGCAACAGGAGCGGTGCGCACGGGCTATCGGACACAAGCAAGGGTATCCGGACTACTGGAGTCACAGGCTCCGCGGCTAAGACGAGCGGCTGGAGCAACGGACCCACGGGCGACTGGCGCAGCAGGCTCGCTGGGCTACCAGAGCAAGGGTGACCCCCTGACTACTGGCGCTGCTGAAGTCACGACGGCTACCTCCGTTCAACCTCCCCCAACTGTCCCACACCCCTTTCACACACCCCTTGCTGCACCCCTAGATCCACTCCCACGACACCCCCCTAGCGCCTCTCCCTCGGCTCCCTCACACCCACCCCCCTCAGCAGCAGCTGCAGCACTGGGAGAGGGAGGAGGAGGAGGAGCAGGGGACGGCTCACACACCCGCCACCCCCATACCCGCCACCCCCACGCCCTAACGCAAGCAACACGCGCGCGGCGCGGGGCAGAAATGCCGGCAGCAGCTGGGGCGGCGTGCGAGCAGAAGCGGGGCGGCGCGCGGGTCCCTGGGGCGTCGCGACGGGCAACGGGCAGGGCAGCGCGCGGGCCCCCAGGGCGTCGCGACGGGCGACAAGTAGGGCGGCGCGCGGGCCCCCGGGGCGCCGCGACAGGCGACGGGAGGGGGCGACGCGCGGGCCCCCGTGACGCCGCAATGGGCGACGGGAGGGGATAGCGCGCGGGCCCCCAGGGCGCCGGGACGGGCGACGAAGCCGCCGCGCGCGCCCGGGGCGCGCGGCGGGCAGGAAATCGCCACACGCCCCGAGCGTGGGGCGGGCAGAAAACCGCCGCGCGCGCCGCGCGCGCGGCAGGCAGAGAACGTCGCGTGCCCGGGGCGCGCGACAGGCAGGACAACAGCGGAAGCAGCAGGGTGGGCCCATCCACAGGATCGACCCACGAGGGTCGACCAGCTCTGATAGCATGTTACGATAGGTAGCAAGGAATCAACACCAAAAGAGGAATTGCACTAGCAGCAGATAGGATACATATAGCAAACCCTAAATTGGGTTGTACTCACTATAGAGTACCCCACTGCAGACTAGACAATTATAGCATTCTGACACAGGCGAGCGCACGCAGGTCGACGGTCGAGCACGTCGTGCTTCCCCCCGGACAGTCTGCAGGTCCCAAGTCGGCCACGTGCCGTCATTTTTGCTCGATGCACCACGTCGACCACGGGATACCTCTTGGACGATGTCCGCGCACCCTTGCAGTACTTCGCCCCCTTGGCTACTTGGTCGACTAGGTAATGTCTCCGGTGCCGACAAATCGGCGCCAACAGGTAGACGAAGGGGTTTGTCGACCGCCCAAGTCGAAGCTAGCCACCGACTTCCCGTTGTCGGCGGCTTCAGTCCCGCAGAAGTCGACCAAGTCTGTCGACGTCCTCGCCCAAGTCGACGTCGACCATCGACAGCAGCCAGCTGCACCTCCCGCGCACCCGACTGCAATGTCGGCTTCGCCCAAGCGAGGGCGCGGCCATTTCCCGTCAACATCAGGCATCCCTCATGTCCCTTCCGGCATCCCCTTTCTGTACGCCCTCATCCGTCAGTGGACTTCCTTCGTCAGCTCAACGCGGACAGCGAGAGGCGCGCCCGACAAGTGCTCCTAGTACTGCGGAGTGACGTGCGACACGGAGGGCAAGGTTGTCGCCATGTGAGTTTCGTGCGACGAGGCTTGCGTTGAGAAAACTGAAACGAGAATGAATGCACCATGAAATAGTTGGGTACAAGTACTAACCCTAATTGGGCTGTACCCTATATGGGCTACCCCACTACAGCCTACACAAAAGCATAAGCTATAAAGTTCTGACACACCCCCATAGGCAAAGTGGGGGAGTACAAGGGGTCACAAGACCAGTCAAGCAAAGCAAAGCAAAGCAAGCTCAGGGTGGATCACAAAGTCACCACACATTCCGAGCACAAGGTCAAGGCCACAAGGCCAGTTCAAATGCAGGAGTACATATATATACAAAAGGCTAGACAAGCAAGAGCAGGTGTATATATATATGTAAACGTACAAGCAAGGTCAAGAGGTGAGCAAGTGAGGCAAGGCAGGCACAAGACCCAGCTGAATACATAAGCGCTGATGATCACAAGGCGCAAGCGCCTTGGTGAAGATATCAGCAGTGTTGGCCTCAGAGGCCACGTACGCAAGATGCAGCTGACCACGCTGGTGCAGCTCACGAGCAAGGAAGTAGCGGAGAGCAATGTGCTTCGTTTTGTGCTCCAGTCTCTGCTCTCGACACAAGGCCAGCATGGCCTTGTTGTCTACGTACAGCACTGGAGGAGAACGAGGCGGCTCTCCGAGGTCAGTCAGCAGGTAGGTGAGCCAGCGAAGCTCCTGAGCAGCCATGGCCCCGGCGTAGATC